TGTTTGTGTGTTACATTTTTATTTAATTGTCTGGCATCTTATTAATGCAGTGTGGAAAGTCTAATATATATTAGCGGTTTACTGAGGGCACTGGGTTTGATAAAGATCAGTGTGGTCTCTGGGCTGGTCAATGTAGTTTACTAATGGCCTGTTTGAGGCTTGGCAAGGAAATAACCAATACAAGCGGGATTCACATGCCATAGTAGTTTACTCTAAGATCTTAATCAGCCTTTATTTTTCCTTTGTTCTTATTGTAGATAGCTGGCACTATGTTGTTGTTGTTGTTTTAAAGATTCCCTCTGATGTGTTATAGGCCTACACAAGGGAATGATGAGAATAAACTGAACTAGTGGTGACTGATAAATTAGAGGATGAGTTCCCAACTGCATAACCAAGAGTAAACAACCCCACCAAAGACATCAAATGAGCAGATGTCAGTCTACATCACAACTTAAAGGGGTCATATGATGCGATTTCAAGTTTTCCTTTCTCTTTGGAGTGTTAGGTTGGACAAATAAAACATTTCATAGGGCCCTAAACGTAATATTTGTTAAACCTTTAATAAATTGATGTTAAATAGTTTGTTTCATGATTTTAATTAATTAGACATGCTTTTTGATTAATAAAATGTAATTTAACCATTAAAAAGGAGTCCAGAAGCCCCCACCACCCCCCAAAGCCGTAAACCTAGGGGAAACACTGAGTATACTGATCGTTATATCTATACTGATTGTTTTCTTTGCTCACACACAGACACTGTGTCTACTATGGCTGTGCGATTAATCGCAATCGAATCACAATCTCGATTTGAGACGTTGCGATTTGCTAATCGCAAAGCCTGCGATGTGGATGCGATATTACTCTGTTCCAGAGCATATGCATGACTGCCAGCCTTGAGTGGCAGTCTTACTAACCAATAGAGTGAGCGCACTTCCGTTCTCCCCAATCAGCACTGCTCTAGCCAACTGTGTAAACACCCACCATTTAAAAACAAAGCGGGAGAGAGACAGAGTGGGATTATGGCGTCTACAGGGTCAGATCGATAGTTAGGCAAATTAAAACTAAAGAAAAGCGTATGTAACTTAAGCTTCGAAATGACAGACAACGAACAAAAAAAGGTAATTTCCAAGAGCTGCATCACAACGCATATCAAGAGCTCCTTTATCGGTTCTGTTTTCAGTACTGGAGAATAAAAGATACATTCTTAGATGTTTTTGTTAGTACATGAACATTATCTTACACATTTTATCTCCCCAACAGATTAATTTACAATAAGTTTATAGTGCATGTTCGCTATTCCCAATTCAGAAGAGCGCACACACAGCCTGTGTCTGTGAATGCTTCTCATACTCTCTCCTCTCTGCCCCACGCGGTGCGAATCCCGCGTCACGGACGAGCCGTTCACACTTTGCCGCACTCACGCAGCCTGTCTCGTAATGCTGGTTTATACTCGCACCCGGCTCCGCACCGCAAATCTCCACGAGCGCATCTGGAAGTATGGATGAGGCTTGACGCACGCGCGCAACCTGTGTCGACTCGCGCCTGGCTCCGTGTTTAAAACGAGTGTAAATTCAGTCTAACTGCTTGCTAATTTCACTTGGATGAAATTAAACATTCAGCACATTTCCCACTTGTTCTTAAAATCCCAAATACTTAAAAATGAATAAATCAGCCTATAAAACATGTATTACTTTAATAATTGACTAAAGAAAAACAGTTCTTTATTTATAAAAAATAAACAAATCTTTCCATGTTTTTTTCAGCAGGGTAATGATACTCATACTGTGCTGCACATTATTGACAATATTGAGCTGAAGATTGACTTTGCAAATTTAAAATCTGTGTAAAACACAATCGCAATTAGATATTTTCCACAAATCGCACAGCCCTAGTTACAAGCAAAATGAATGAATACAAGCGAAAAGCATGAATATATTATTTTCATATGGGTCTGGGGGTGATTTCTTGTACAAAAACTCGCTCCAGTTTATTCAAAGCCCCAAACTTTGACTCAAACGAGTTTGTCTACTCGATGAGACCTTTCAAATGACATATGACACAAGACTGTCTGAGCTGTATGATGTTTTTTGACATTAGAGTAAATGGCACAAAAAATATATTTTGTAAATTATGATTTTTTTTTGTCATTTATCAGCAAATAACTCTGCACTACTTTGGAGCAGCTACATGCATTGTAAAGCTCAGACTCTAAGCTTTCAAATGATATCCATTTTTTGTTGATTAAGGCAGTGATTTAAAAAATATGATTAGTAATATTTTCGCGGAGGGGGGGGTGTCCCGCTTCATTAAAAAGCTGAGATTCTAAGCTTTAAAATGATACCTATTTTGTGTTATTCCATTCAGGGGTTGCTTAGTAATTTGATTATGAATTTCTTTGTGTGGGAGGTTTCCTGCCGGCGGGACACCTCTGGCTTAAAGGGTTAAGCACCAAAGTACAGAAAACCTACCATGGCACATCTCTAGAGGCAACAAACTCATTGAATAGTACTATGCAGTTGGAAAAGAGACATAAATATCTTTACAGTTCACAAGCTGCACAAACATGCAATGGCCATCTGGTGCATCTCCAAGGAAAAGCTTTTCAAACAGTCACCCTGGATACCCATAAATACGGAATCGCTGTTTCACTGGCCAGTGTGGAGGTGGAGGATTCAAGTTCACTTAATTTCCTGGCTTGACACTCTTGAGGAGTGAAGCCAAGCCTAAACAGGAAAGCCCAATATCACAAATGATGAAAAGCAGACATTAGGGCTGGGTTAACCTGTTTGTTTTGGTCGGCTAGTTTATTGACTTTTATGATGCTGTAGTATTTTATTAGAAGTGCTTTAGTAGAAGAATATATGGCCATGTTGACACGGCAACAGAATATAGTTGTTAGTTCTGTATTTGAGTCCTTAATACAGTTATGTTCACACACAATACGATAGTTTGAGGGAGTGACAACTGCATTCTACAACTAAATTCACAGACATAAATTTTCATGACTCATAACCGCATTCTCAGAAAACCCATGCTGTGTGAAAGGAACCGAACTAGTTGTCTATCATGTCATACAGTGCAAGAGAGCTGCTCTGCTGCATAAACATGCACCTACCGTGTGTTGTGGTTTTTCATGTGTGGTTTCCGTAACTTCCAGAGATGCGTAGCTATATGAGCTGTGTTATCTGAAGGTTGTCATCCAGTCAATGTTCTCCACCAAAATATAAAAGCTGCTGTTGGTGAAATGAAGATTTGACCGATGCACTCACAGCTAAATTAAACACTTGTGTCAAAAAGTGATAAGACTTTAAAGTTTTATGGACTTCACCATCTTGGATATTACCTTGGCCAGTGTCACTATGGTTACTGGTAAGGAATACAGGCTTGACTCTCACTGCACATTCATTCAGACCGTATTCGAGATGCTACTGCAAGTTGCTGTGTGAACTGGAGACATTTCAAGACTCACACCTGTAAGTAAATACGGTTGTCAATCCCAAAATCTGACAGTGTGAATGTAGCCTATATGTGCAACTTTTCAGATTTTCTTCTCAGAGTTTTAGCATGCTGATAGTGTGCTATAAGAAAAACATTGCTCTGATATTTGAAGTAGCAGTACTTTAAAGGGGATGAATTTAGAAACTTAACTGAAACATATCAGCATGTTAAACAAACTTCTTTCTTTTAAACAAAAAAAACACTTTCAAGCACCACCAACACTGACATCAGAGCACTGCATTTGGTTAGTTTTTAAGATTATCTGTGCAAACCACTGACTTGTTATTTGTTATTCGGAACTAATAAAATATATTAACATATAATACCTACTGAGATAGGGTGGTGGATGTGGGTTCAGAACAAGCAATTAAACCAAGTGTTACTTTCTGTCCTGCTTGCTGGAAGCACACTGAGGAATATAACTGCGCCTCCAAAGGCTGTATGTTGGCCTAGCAGCCTGGAAAACCTCAGCTGAACAATGTGAGTCCTGAGCCTGGGTTTCACTCAAGCATACAATGGACTCTTTGTCTGCATTCTTGCAGCTCGCTGGGATGCTTTGTACGCTATGCCAACTCACTGGGGCCTGCGTGAGCATCCGGTGCTGTTCGCCTGGGCTATGGCTAAACCAGCCTCCCCAACTCTGAGTGCAGCAGTTGGGTGAGACACTTGTGTGTCAGCGCTCTTTGTTTCATACATGGTTCTAGCATGGATGTACCTGTTCATAAACTACTACTTTGGGTACTAAACAGTGTATTTAGATGAAGTATGCTAAAGATAAAGGGGTTTGATGGTCTTGGATCTTCTGAAAACTAGAAATTTAAACTTATAACTCACTTTATTTTTATCACAGTCCATGAAATGGTCCCTTTGTTAATTGCCTCTAGTATTAACATTTATCACTCGTTGTGGTCCAAACTTGTGAAATGTTTGACTATTCCTCTTTTTGTTTATGTCTTCGGTGGTCATGGGTCAGGGGCTTTCTTCTTTGTGAAGCTAGACTGTGAATCGCTGGCTTGAGTTGATAGGATGCAGAACTATAGTTTGAAATCAGACACAGTTGAAGTCAAGTGGTTGAGCTGTTGAGACTTTTTCAGACAAAGTCAGAAGAGTTCCTCCTGCGGTTTGGAAGTTGGGATTTTTTACATTAATGAGACTTTGTCCCATAGATGGCTGGAGTGTTTATATTCACACACACACACACACACACACACACACACACACACTTTAAACAGATTCTAAAGATCTGAAGGTTTTGCTTTAGATGTTTGGAACAGAGACATGGTTTTAGTCAAAGCTAGATTGGCCTGCTTGGCCAAGACCTTATCCACTGACCTGCTGTGTCCGTGCTATTGCAAGCCAGTACATGTAATTCCAATACACGTACTTAGTTATAAACAAGAATGAAGTTTGCATAATATTACATACTTGATATCAGTTTAAAAGCTACGCATGCGAGGCACTGAACTGTTAGGATTTAAATAATGTTCTCTCTCTCTCTCCAGAAAAAAGCCAAAGGTGCAGAGCTGTTTGAACAGATCATGTATCACCTGGACGTTGTCGAGAAGGATTACTTTGGCCTGCGCTTCATGGATTCAGCCCAAGTCCCGGTAAGAGCAAAAGGATTTCTCGATGGTGTATGCAAGATGTGCTTTGATATGTCAGCTGATTCGATCTAATTGATGGGCCTGCTGTGTTTAAATAGTCAAATAACTTAACACTTGCTCACCTCCAGTGTGAATGGTTGCATCATGATTAAACCAGAACACTTCTGTTGTAATCTGCAATGAACATACATTGCAGAAAGCTTTGTTGAAAAATATTTTCCAAAGCTACATGCTAATAAGGAGTACTACAGCATTTCACAGAGCAAATTTGCAGGGGAGTTAGGTAGAGGTGGGGGTGGGGGGTGGAAGGGGGTTACTAAAATGTATGTGGGCAGCGACTGGTAGGCAGTGAAGGGAGTCAAAGAGAGTTGTAACATGCACTCTTGATCTGATGTTTTATGCCAATCCTCATGACTGGGTGGTCTTCATGATGTGGTTCGAGTCAAACACAGCTCCCAGAATTCCTGCCTGTTTGGATGCTGTTTTTATTGCTGTACCTATCTAAATTGTTTTAGTTTTGGTGCATTCCCAGCTTGCATTTTAGACGCATTGCTACTGAAGAGTCATTAAAGATCATGAGCTTTTTCTCAATCACATTTTTTTTTCTTTTTTTCTGATGATTTTCCAGTAGCAATCATCATTTAATAACTTCTGTTCAACTTACGCACTATGCACACTCTGATAAACTTTCTTTATTGACAGCCATTTACCTTTATATTATATTTGATAAAATATTGAATCTGCAAAGAGCAGCAGACAGAGCTCAGGCTAGTGCAGAGACTTACGTGAAAGAGGGAGAGGGAAGAGCGTGTGAAGAATGTGTGGGAGAGATCGAGACACTCTATTCTTCCATCAGCATGAGTGCCTGCTCCCTTCCTCCATTCCTCCCTCCCTCCCTCCCTCCCTCCATATTGTTCATGCATCACCCCATTAGAGTGGCCCAGCTCAATAGACGGGACAGAATTTTCTAGTGTTTTCAAACCAGAGTATGAAAACGCTTTTTGCCCACCAGTAGTGGTCGACCGATATTGTTTTTTTGACAGCTAATGCCGATGCCGATATCTTGGAAAGCAGGGTGGCCAATGGCCGATATAAAGCCGATATAATTTTATTTATTTTAATGTTTAAGAAATTTGAAATCATTTGAAAATGGATTAAAAAGTAAATGTGTTAAATAAACATACTTATACTTTAGATGACAAAGTATTTTTCACAAATAAATAAATATTTTATAAATAATATAATAAAAAAAGGAAGTAAACACTGTAACCAACAGGGCACTCAGTATTCTGGGAAGTTTGTGTGCATTGGAATTTGGGAATCATATTTTTTCAAATAAAGCCAAGGTAACACTCATTTTACGTACAGCACACAGTGAAAATGACATGAATATGGCAGTGGGCAAATGCATAAAGCGCAGCATAATTTAAAATCACGAGTTTAAAGTTTGTCGATCGCGCGTCTCCAGTGAAGCTGAACTCTCTACCTGTCTGCATTCAATTCACACGGATCGACCGTCACGCAGAGAACACGCGATCATGCAGGATACAAATGCACACTTCACAAGATCTCACAACTGGATCTGACTAAGTTTGCAAGCTTTGTGAAATTAAATGTTCATTAGTCATTCAAAGATTTGTTTAAATTATATAAATACATATTTGCTGAATGCTGACGGCAAACAAGAAAGTATTATAATGTTTGCCTTTCTGTTACTAATAATGTACTTTTTGTATAAATTGTAATTCCTTTGTTTAACCGTTCTATCTGATTATTAGACAGACTTCT